CTGAGAGCTCACCATATGATTAAATCAATTCAGTTTGATCACAAGAACCATTCAGCTGAATTTACCCATCATTAAACTTCTTTATTTATTGAATCAGATGCTGTTGTTGTGTTTATATCCAGACTGAAGGCTTATGTAAGGCAGTCGATATCTTTGTTATGCTCATGTTTCGTTGGCTCTCATTTGCCTTCATTTTCTTTGTGCCTCATTACTTTCCACAGCACAAAAGCTCCTCTAGATTTATCTAGTTTAAAGTCATGACAGTAAAAAATGTTTGAAGTAATGTTAAAGGTCCCTTCTTGGTCCATAATGCACCTTTTACCACTCCCAGAGTGTTTGCCCTGAACATCGATCCTCTTCTGAAATGGCCAAAACTGTGGTGTCTTAAAGGAATAGTTCTGATCTTTTTAAAGGAGGTTGTATGACGTACTTATCTGTAATCAATCACTCCTTTACACTGCCTGTTCAAAGCGGGAATGTCACGCCTTTATTCCACCTTGACGTTCTTTTTAAAAGGCACAGTTGTGGAAAGGGGGGTTAGAGTTGTCTCACCTTTACGCCAGCATTAGAGTTGGGCAAAATTTATACTTCTGCGTCGAATCAATGCTGTACCTACGCCGTAGCTTAATGTGCACCTCCCCAGAAATGTAACTACACGTTGCAGCGACGCAGACCTCCTGTCTGTTTCTGTAAGCTGAAACCATTTCCCTCAGTGGAAACGAAGCTTTTATTTACTTTTATTTCACAGATAAGAAACAATAAATTGTGAAGACAGTAAAGCCTCCACTAAAATAGCATTTTAAGTTTTGTGTGTGATTTATCCTGGCTTCATATGAGCAGAGGAAATCTCTGCTCATCGCTAGGCTAATTTATACAATGTAAAATGCCATAGGCTTGTGCTAATAATGTTAGCATGTTGTATTTGTTTGGAAAACATGTTTAGTATAAGACAGTTGTTTTGTCAGTGAACCTTGTGAGTTGTAATGGAGCTGAATTTTGTAACGTTACCTTTGTTACATGTTGCTGTTGTCCCTGGCTTCATATGAGTAGAGGAAAAGTCCGTTAGCCACTAGGCTAATTTATACAATGTAAAATGCCATTGGCTTGTGTTTGTCTGTGAATGCTGCGAGTTATAGTGAAGCTGATTTGTGTACTTGTGTTTGAAATTGTCGATATTAAGCCATGTTTAATGTGTGTTTTGAATCAACTAAACTTGACACTAGCCATGTTTCCATCAGCCTGTTTAGATGCGCATCTAGAAGTATCGCATCGGAAAAATATGATGGAAATGCCAAAATTCGAATTAAAATCCCCTGATTCGCACAAACTAAAATACGCTCGCTTTAGCTGGGTTTTGGTTGATTTGTAAAAATGTTGATTTGCAAAACGGGGATTTATGTTCAAATTAAGTCTGCCGTAGCGCACCTCTCTCCATGGTGATATCCACACTCCGGGTCGGGAAGGCGGTAATGCATTTACAAGATGGTTGCCAACTGTCAGAAAACGTAGAAGAAGAAGAATGCGAGACTTGTTTTGTTTCCGGTTCTGTGGAAAACTCGCGTGAGTTCGTAGTTTTCACCAAAGTCCGTACATTTAATGTAAACGCACAGGATTTGTATTTTTTTTAATGCACATTTCCCAATGATTCGAATCTCTTTTGGATGGAAACATAGCTACTGACACCCCACTGTTCAAGTATAAATGCTCACAGCGGCGTAGGCCATATGAGTAGGCTAGGGTGTAGGGTCTGCTGCATAAGTATAAATCCCCTTTAGTAACAGAATCGTCTGTGTAAAAGGGACACCTAGCAGGACAAGACCACAGAAAGGAGGGGCGTAACATTTTGATGACATTTTATGTGTGCGACCCACCACTGGGAGATTTAAAAAGGAGCTGCTGATAGCAGTTAGCAGCTAACAACAATGAGGAAGAACAGTGGCCGAAAATGTGTGCAACTTTGGGAGGCGATGAGGTCCGGGACTCTTAAATCGCTAAGCAACGAACGAAATCAGCCATCATATAACAGGGATGGTAGATTATTTTTATTGCCATGTTATGCCATTGTTACTGTTTGTAAAGCGCTGCCTAAGCTTATGCTACATGTCATACAAGAGGCTGAAGCTGTTGTGTTACAGGTCACATCCGTCATGCCTCTATTGCTTCTGCAATGCCAACATGCTGTCTAAAACTACACACTGGAGCAGAATGATGCTGCTGTTGCTTGGTTCTGTGTAAAAATGCAAAGGAGACATAAAGAAGGGAATTGTAGTGAACCTATAGTGTGATCTCTGTGTAAAATGTATCACCTATAGTAGATGGCGATCGGCCCACTCCCAGCTTGGAGAAGCAGGCAGGAGTACAGAAACTAAGCAATGTACTGCTGTAGACGGGGGCAGCGGTTAAACGTATTTTAGCCACCTAAAAAAATGGTCCAGCAAATCAGTTTAAGTGTACACTATATTGATATTGACGAAGTCACCAGAGTCCGTTGACAAAAACAGTAATTAGTTCCCGAGCAGGAGACCTGCGAGGTCCCTATTGTTTTTCTCCCAATTATTTATATATATATATATATAACTCACCAAACTTGCAATATAAGTCACACCTGGAGAAAAATTTTATAATCTATTGTCGTCCTGAATTTCCACCACTAGGTGGCGCTATTATTAAGGAAAGTGCGTTTTGGCTCATAACTCCCATACACTTTGTCGCACATTCAAAAACCTTATATCCACGCATTCAGTGAATTGTGCTGATTCTCGTGGTATAGATATAGGCCACATTTCCGCCTACCGTTTTTTTTTTTTTTCGCAAATTCGCAAAATGTCGCAAACCTACTTTTTCCAACTCCTCCTAGGCAGTTTCACCGATTTGCACGAAACTTTGCACACAGCATCTGTGGACTCTTCTGACAAAAAGTTATTAAAAGAATTTTGATATTCCAAAGAATACTCAAGTTATTAAATAACAACTTCCTGCAGATTTAGTTCTAAACAGGAAGTGTTGCATAGCTCCACATTGGTGGGTCCGAATGACATGAAACTCAGTTTACTACTTCCCCATGAGACCCTGAGGCTCTGTGCAAAGTTTCGGGTGATGACCACAAGGTGGCGCTCTTTAAATTGAAGTATTTTATATCTCAACATTGGTTGGGCAGATTAAAACGAAATTATTGTCAATGCCCTCCTGAGGATATCTGACGAAGGACTTACCGATCCGCCACTAGGTGCCGCTCTGGTGGCCGTCTAATTTAATATTTGGCACTGTGCCAACACCATAACACTCATGGAAATAAAATTGATAGGGGTGGTATAGACTGGCCCCTGTAACTCAAACACCAAAAATGACCAGCAGGTGGCGATATTATCAATGCAAAAGCGTTTTTGGCTAATAACTCCCACATAATATGTCGCACATTGTTAAACATTCTATTTACGTGTTCTCAGAATTCAGCTCAATTGTGTGGTGTAAGCCACGCCCACTTGCGCGGTAACTTTCCATTCGCTAAATCGCGACAAATGAAAAACGTACTTTTTCGAACTCCTCCTAGGCGATTTGACCGTTTTGCACCAAACTTTGCATGTAGCATCTGTGGACCCTCCTGACAAAAAAGTTATTAAAAGAATTTTGATCGTCTAAAAAACGCCCAAAATATAAATCAACAAATTCCTGCACATTGTTTTCAAAACAGACAGTCTTTCATATCTTGACCAAATACAGTCCGATTACCACAACACTTTTGCTAATTGTGTTCCATGGCCCGATGAGGGATTGTGCAAAATTCAGTGCAAATCGGCCAATAGGTGGCACTCTGGTGGCAGTCTAATTAGTGTGAATGGAAGTAAATTGGAAAATCTTCAAATCCTCTTCAAAACTCATCAACTTTCAACCACTTCTTGTCCCTCATACTTTGAGCTAGAGACACCATGTCAACTTTAAAAGAGTCAGAAGACCTTGAACTATTGGGCATGTATTCAGCTTCTACTTTTTGGAAAAATACATACGTTGGGTGCCTACCTGTATACTGGAAATGTAAGTAAGAGATAATGTTTATTTTTTAATTTATTACAGCTGACAAGACATCTAGGTGCACGACCCCCGACGGCAGCATGCCCCGATGCGCGTGGACTGCGAGGGCCCGTTCATCGCTGCTTGCAGCTTTAATTTGACCTATTATTACACGGGAGCTGCTGGTCAACTGCTGCCACACTAGTTGGTTTTGTTATTGTGTGACCTCGGTGTTCAGAAGAGTTGGTTCAGATTCACCAAAGTCACATAATAATGCAAACATAGTAACTGATCGAAGCAGCTGTAGATCAGCAGCTCCTGTGTTCTGCAAGTTAAAATTACTGTTTTTGTCAATGGAGTCTGGCTTTAAAGAGAGCAGAGATAACAGCTTCAGTTCCCTAATGTAAAGGGCTGTCTGACAGCAAGGTAACGCAGTGAATATATTCTGAATATTGCGTACATTTAAACTGATATTGATTATTTTAGCTGCTCCTGTCCACAACAGTACACTGTTTAGTTTCTGTACTCCAGCCTGCTTCGTCAAACTGGGAATGTGACAACCACCATTCACTGCACGTAATACACTGAATATGGATAAGTACCTCATACAAACCCACTTAAAAAAATCTGAACTATCCCTTTAACATCTTCTGTGTGTTATCAGACACTGAAGCTTAAAAAATGTTACAAGATGTTCAGCAGGTTTACAGCTGAAGCAGTTTTCTATGGATCCATTTAAAAGCTTCGTTTGTAAGTAACTTGAACTGCTCTATAGACCTTTTCTAACTTGACAACATAAAGACTCTAAATGGGTCCCTTTGTATTTCCTCTTGCAGTGTTTGTTAATGCAGTAGCTGACAGGAATAAATAGGGACCAAAGCTGTTGCCCTAGCAACAACACAGCAATAAAAAGGTCTTTAGATCACTGGTTGTTGTTCTGTCGATTATAACCAAAGATATGTTTTGACCACTTGTCCGTCTCTTGTCTCCAGGCCCTGTGGAGAAGCATGTGATGACTCACGCAAGGCAGAAGGGTTCCCTGAGGCAGAGCGACAGTAGTGCTGAGTGGTGGGACAACGCCCCTCTTTGGCCACATGGTGGCACTATGGGCGACGCCTGGCCTGAGCGCTCACTGCGATTCGGGAGGACAAAGAAGATAAGTGAGATCATCAAACAAAGGAAAGACATGGCCAAGAGGGTGAAAGACAAAAGAGGGAGGACGGAAAAATCAGATCAGCACAGAAAACTCGACCGGAGGCGTGACAAGAAACGGGACAGGAAGTTGTATCCTTTGCGCGGGAGGGCTGGAGGTTCAGATGGGGAGGGGCTCAGCTGTCACGTCCTGCTCACCCGTTTGGAGGAAAGCATCCGTGATCAAGAAAGGTCTGAAGAAAGGGTACGAAAGGACGCACGCAGACATTTAACTCTCAAACCCAAACCCAGAAAAGGGAAAAGCAGTGAAAGAAAAGAGGTGAAGTCGTTACCAAAAACCAAATCAAAGTCAAACAGCCCAAGTCGTGGCGAGTGTATTCATGTCCCACAACCACGCAAGCGCAGACTGGCCTCTCTCAATGCCGAGGCGGTGAACACTCTGCTGCTTGAAAGAGCTACTGACCCTCAGGCGGCAGCTAAACAGGCCAGGAGACAGGAAGAGCCCACGAATGGAGGGATATCTCTGGATACAAATCCAACCAGGAGTGGCATCCCTGGAGGTCTAAAGGCTTCACGAGGAAACATCACCAGAGCCTCCATGTCTCACAAACTTGAACTGTGCCAAAGCTCTAAGCAGGTCAAGAAGGCCAAAGCCAGCCGAGCAGAGAGCGGGGGTATGAGTCATGAGAGTCTGGACGCCCCCGCCCCCAGAAGACTGGCTGGACTCAACGCTGCAGCCCTGCTGAAATTAACCAGCTCCTCTGCGACCAGTAAGCAGAGAGTAAAAGCTGCACCCACAGCTACTGTCACGTCAGACTGCAAGGCTCCTGCCTCAACCCCAAAACAGCACTCCAGAGTCAAACTCAGAGACAAGGGGCACTCACAGAAGCAGAAGAAAAAGACCCCTCCCCTGCACAGTGGCTGCACAGCCTGCAGAAAGAAGGCGGACTTTGAGGCCAAAGTGGAGTGGGAGACCGGCAGCTGCACCCATCGACTGACCAAACCAGGCTACCAGTCGCGCAGCATGCTAGCATACCCACTAAAGCAAGTGAAGGAGGAGCAGCTGGAGACCGAACTGAGCCCATACTACTGCTGTCCCCCAGAGGGCTCAGTGGAATACTGCCACCGCTTGGCCTTCTTCCTGGGCCAGCAGCCCTACGCAGAATCAGACGATCAGCCACTCAACTCAGCCATGACCCCTGTGAAGCGCGAGTGCCTCGTAACCTCACCCTCCCTGACGCATTCCCACCCGCACACAGCCCTGACCCTCGGCCCCCACCCTTGCCTCTGCACCGCCGACCACTGCTTCTCCAGCTACTACGTTCACATCGCCCACCCAACACACACTGGAACAACGTCAGCAGGCCTGGCCTCGCGGCCTCTGAACTTTGCAGCCCCCAGTTTATGCCCTAATCGGATGACTGGCTCCAAGCTGCTGGATCCGCGGGTGTCTCACAGCTCAGGGCTGGCCCACCCCGCCTACTGCAACTCGGTGGCTTCACCCTGTTACGGTGACGCCTGCGGGATCGGTGGCTACACCTATAGAGCGATGCCTCCTGTCACCAGCAGGGGTTGTTCTTACAGCACAGGATGCACTGGATGCACACACAGCATCAAAACAGGTGAGTGGAGGACGACGATAGTTTATCACTGAAGTATTTCAGCTGATTCAAAATGTAGATGGGTACTGAAGGAAGGCAGTTAATGAGGATAAGAGTCAATACGTTAACCAACTATCACTGAAACTGTCTAAACATTGAGTGTTTCAATAAGATCTGGAGCAGGTTGACACTTCCTTGTTTCCCTCATCATCACCCTTGTGTAGCTCTTATTATTGAAAGAAGCACATCTCAGTGTTATCGAGGTATTTCTTCCAGAACTAAAGAGTCCTTTGTTGTTAAACGTCTGCCTCAGGCCAGCTGTGTGGCCCTACAAATATGAACATTTCTTTTGTTTTTATCTTTGAAAGTGTCCACACCTTGAGGCAGCTCTGACTTAGATGTTCCTTGATAAGAAGCTCTGGGTTCATATGTGATATTTTCTGGAACAGTTGTGTTTATATATAGGTGGAGTGATAATGGAGATAAGGAAGCAGGTTGTTTTTAAGCTGATTTACAGTGGAACCGTGCAGTGCTCATTTTTGGCTTAAAGGTATACTATGTAGGGTTAAAAATGTATAGACTAGTAATCTCTCAATCATCATGTATGACCCACTAGAAGTGTGTGTCGGTGTAATTATCTTTACTTTACTGTGCTTGGGACGTTCCTGAGTATGTAGCCCAGCCAAAAACAGCGTGCAGGTGAGGTTAGGACTTTATAAAAAGGTAGCGATCAGGTGCCAAACCGTAAGCAGCACGCATCCAAGAGGAAGCCATGGATGCTGTAGAGGCACCACAAGGCAACAGAGTAGGAAGAGGAATATGATTTCTCTTCCCAGATTATTTGTCTCATTACAGTGACACTTTCGGCAAATATGACGAGAATTTTTCTAAAAGTCTCCGACAGTTTTAACAGCAGCAACTTCTACCTAAAGTTTGCTTGGTCATAAAAGACCAAATAAGGCTGTAGTGACAAAACACCTGAGTGTACTGAACTGATCAAACGTGCATCTTGTTGCTTATTAGTTCAATATTTTATTTGTAACAGGGCGTCTACAGGTCCTAAAAAAAGTCTTACAATGTCTAAAACTCAGTTTTATAAATATGTTGTAAACGTCTTTAAGTAGTCCTAAATGTGAATTTGTGAGGTCTTATTTGCCACAAATAATTTTATCCATCTTTTGATTTCTTTTTGTCAAAATGTAGGCATGCACCAAATATTCGGTAACCAAATATATTCGGCTGAATATTGCAAAAAAACACACACTCGGTTTTTGGTGGAATAAGTGAAAAGCAAGGCCGAATAATAGCGGTGTGTTTTGATAACGCAATCAAACAGCGTGTAGTGATGGACCGAGTAAAATGTCGGCAGTGTGGCGATATTTTACTCTGTCCGTCACCGCACTCGCATTTGCGACTAAAAATAGTTTTGTGCGACCAAAATAAATCATTCAGCACGCTGTATGAGTACAACCAGCAGCAGAAACGAAAGGCGAATCCTGCCGGTTGCGGGTTGAACGGGGGTCACAGACACAGACAGGAATGTATTCCTGTCAAATATGGCGGCCATAGTGCTCCGCGGTGCAAGATAAGGCTTACCGGCAACAGAGAAGTCCGACTCCAGGTCCAATAATTTCCTCTTCTTGGTGTCATGACTGCCCAAAAGTACCTGGACAGCCGAGCCAGCCTAACACAGGTATGTGATGTGTCAGAGGAGAAACGAGCCGTTCACATTTCTCTCTTTGTGGCAGGTAATGGTCCACAAACCTCACCGCACTTTAGGGACTGTTCTTTACTTGTCAGGGGAGGAGGGTGGCTGGTTGATTTTTATTTTATTTATTTTGATCCCCCCTATGTTAATCACTTATTGATGCTGTTTTTGAAGTATGAATAAGTCAATAAGTAATTTATTCCATTGAAATATCATTGATGTATTATAGAAAAGTGATTTATCTTTTTACAAATGACAAAAGACACATCTGCCTCATTTTCGCTGCGGTATCGTGATACTACTATGTGATACTACTACTGTGATATTTAAAAGTGTTACTGTCCCTCTTTACTCTTCCAGAGGGCTACTCCTCCCCTCAGGGTGACCACAGCCCATCCCTCCTGGTTCCCCCATCCCTACCCATCTCCAGTTGCCCTCTATCCAGCGTGCCCACGTCCACCCAGACCAAACCCCACCTGCTGACCCCCCTGTCGGGGCGAGACCAGCCCCAGGCCAGGTTAAAGCTGGCCACAGAATGCCCGCAGAGCAACGAGCCCTCCAACGGCTCCCTGTCCATGGGCCGCACACGGCTGCCCCAGAAACAGTCGTCAGCCCTGCCAAGCCTCAGCGGCACCAAACAGAAGAGAGTGACTCGCAGACGTGCCACCAACGGCTGGCGGCCTGTTGGAATGCCCACGGAGAGGGAGGTCTTCATTGCGGTAGGTTGTTTTTGAGTGTGTGAAGATGAGCAGGAGATCAGAGAGCTTCTCGTCTTTCCTCTTGTACTCCACTATCTGATAACGCTCTGCTCGTAGAAACTGTAGCATCCACACAGCTGCCTCGCAGAAAGAACCAAAACAGAAAAACAGCTCATGGGGGAAAAGATAATTGTGTTTTGACCACACACTCCTCGTGTGACAGATTTCCTTTTTGTCTTTATAATGAGAATTATATCTGTCCTTGTCGCTGTGCGTATGCGTGCATGTGTCTGTCTCAGGGAGAGGATGAGACGGCCCTGCGGCAGTGTTATGAAGGAGTGGAGAGGGACGGTGAAGTGATACACGTCAGAGACACTGTGCTGCTACGATCAGGCCCCAGGAAGAAATCCCTCCCATATGTTGCTAAGATATCAGCGCTGTGGGAGGACCCCAAAACAGGTAAAGGAGGCGAGGAAGGGGGAGATAATGGATTGATAGGGAGGGTGGACGAAGGGACATATGGCCAAGATTGTTTACCTGTACCTCTCCGTGTGTGTGTGTGTGTGTGTGTGTGTGTGTGTGTGTGTGTGTGTGTGTCTCAATTTCCTCCCTCAGGAGAGCTGATGATGAGTCTTTTCTGGTACTACCGACCTGAGCACACACAGGGAGGCCGAGATCCCAGCACACACTGTGAGGTGAGGCTTCATTTAGTGACAGCAAACTGTGTGTCCCCTATTAAAAACAAATAATGAGGTAAATGAGTGTGTGATGTGGAGATGTGTTTCATTATAAAACTATTTTAATGAACATACAATTATTTAATTAGTGTATTGTACTGTAAACACATACATTCGTCCAGGTTTCTCAGAACCTCCCGTGCACCAAACTAACGACATGCCTAAGCACCTTTCTCGTTCAGCCTACACAGTTCTCGAAGGGTTCTTCCTGATTGACTGAGGTTCTACCCAGAACCATTTGCCTGTGAAGAACCATTTTTTGAAGAAAGGGTTAAGTTAATTACACAGTCATGCTGCTCAGCGCTCTGTTACCCTGAGAGTGCGGTGTTCTGGCTAACCAATGGTACATTTCAACAGCGCTGAACGTAGGAACAGTCCAGTTAGTGCCAGAGCATGCTCTGGTACTCAAAATGAGTATTTCCGAACGCTCCTCTGGATGAAACCTGAATATAGAAGAATTCTTGGTAGAACCACCTGGTTGGGTTCTTGGTAGCACCCTTAGAAGATGGAAAGGTGGCTGAGTAGTCTTCCAGGGAGGTTCGTTGTAGACCAATTACACCATAGAAGGTTCCAGGTGGAAGGTTTATAAAAGGTTCTACTAGAGACCAAAGAACACTCTCCAATAGGGACAAGCTGAAGAGCGTGTGTGAGTACATGAGGGAGAGCTGTTGATGTTTAGAGCCGCCGGTCCACCTTCAGGTTTGGCACAAAGGCCCACTTGAACTCAGTGATAAACTGATTAGATTTTGGTGGGCAAAGGTCAAGCTTTGATGGTCGAAGGTCACTGTGACCTAGACTCTGTCTCATTCTTGTGAACGCAATATCTCAAGAAGGGCTTTCTTCACATTTGGCACAAACGCCCACTTGAACAATGAACAGATAAGATTTTGATGGTCAAAGGTCAAGGTAGCTGTGACCTTGTGTCTGTCTCATTCTTGTGAACACAATATCTAAAGAACGCCTTGAGGGAATTTCTTCAAATTTGGCGCAAACATCCATTTTGAATCAAGGATTAACTGATTAGACTTTGGTGGGTTTTTCGGCCATAACTCAAGACTTCATATGCTGTTAATGACAAACTTTCACACAAATATCTAACAGATTGAAATAATGAAGTGAGGTTAAGGTCAAAGGGTTCTGTGACATTATAATGTTCTGCAAAAGCACTTTTCTGGCCATTATTCAATGCCATAACTCTAATCTTAATAGTAAGTTTAACAGACTAGTATTTCTGGTGCCAACTAGCGTGAGTAGCAACATTTAAGTCAAGGACTAGTCAACCAATTGCACACATCCTTAATAAGTAAGTGATTATACATAGTGTAGAAAACAGTGTGCGAGGAGGAGGTGGACAAACAGTCAGTGCTCCTGCAGACCTCATTATCTTACCTCAGCAGCCCTCAGACTGTTGGAAGTTGGGCACCACTTTGGAGCCAGATGATATCCGTGCCACCTCAGTCGTGCACAAACAAAGAAAAAGGGAGAGCAGCGATTTCACGGTTAGAAAGTGAAACACCACTCATGTTTCTATTCACAACGGATGTTTACAGCCTGTGTTGAGAAGGGCAGGGTGTTTTTGTGTGAGTGTGTTTGTGGCGGCACGCGGAATGGGAAACACAGAGGCACAGTCCTACTGCACATGAACAATTACAGCCTCCTCTGTGCTCACAGTTGAAAAGTGTTGTCATTTCTTCAGCCCTCAGCCAACACTATCGGACACACTTGTGTTGATGTGACATTGTACACCCACTGTTGGTTTCAGAATGAGATTTTCGCCTCTCGGCATCAGGATGAAAATAGTGTGGCCTGCATAGAAGACAGATGCTACGTTCTCCCACTAGCCCAGTACTGTAGGTGAGTACACACACACACACACACACACACACACACACAAACACACACACACACACACACACACACACACACACACACAAACAGGAATACACCCCAGCATTAGACGTTAGCAGAAAGTCTTTTTAAAGGGTTTGGAGATGTTCCTTTTAATTAACACCTCGGCTTCTGCGAAATGTGGAAGCCTGTTTTTCTGACTTTCCCATCGCACATCGGTGACACTGCAACTGTTAATGAATTCGAGGGAACACTGGGCCACAAACATTTGCTAAACATCATTTGCAAATATCTGTTCGTGTTCAGTTGCTCATTATTTTCAAATAAAGGTGCAGCAGCAGGAAGATATATGTGACTCGTGCCTGATCTCTCTGCAGATAGTACAAACTGAGAGTGCCACCTCTGTCCTTCCCATTCTCATACAAGGTGATATCTCAAGAATGACTTGAGGGAATATTTTCAAATTTGGCACAAACGATCACTTGGACTCAAGGATGAACGGATTAAAGTTTGGTGGTCAAAGGTCAAGGTCACAGTGACCTTGCATCAGTCTCATTCTCATGGATGTGATACCTCAGGAATGCCTTGAGGGAATTTCCTTAAATTTAGCTCAAGTTGTCTGTCTCATTTTTGTGAATGTAATATCTCAAGAATGCCTTTCTTCAAATTTGGCACAAACGTCTACTTGTTGAGTTCAACGATAAACTGATAAGATTTTAGTGGTCAAAGGTCAAAGTCACTGTGACCTTGCATTCGTGTTACTCTCATGGACACAATATCTCAATAAAGCCTTGAGGGAGGTTTTTTTTTTCCTTTTTAAATTTGGCACAAATGTCCAGTTGGACTCAATGATGAACAGGTTAGATTTTGATGGTCAAAGGTCAAGGTAACTGTGACCATGTGTCCATCTCATTCTAGTGAACACAGTATCTCAAGCACGCCTCGGGGGAATTTCCTCAAATTTGGCACAAACTTAACACTTGGGCTTAAGGATGAAGTGATTAGATTTGGGTGGTCAAAGGTCAAGGTCACTGTGACCTTGCATCAGTCCCGTTCATGTGAAAGTGACATATCAAGAAATGCCTTGAGGGAATTTCTTCAAATTTAGCACAAACATCCATTGTGAATCAAGGATGAACTGGTAAGACTTTGCTGGTGTTTTTGGCCGTAACTCCAGAATTCATATGCTGTTTATGACAAAAAATTCACACAAATGTCTTAACAGAATAAAAGAATGAAGTGAGGTCAAGGTCAGAGGTCACTGTGACATAATAATGTTATGCAAATGCACTTTTCTGGCCATTATTCAACGCCATAACTCAGGAACAACTCAGGAGAGTCAAATATGAATTGGTGACCCTTATCTTGGGTGTCCATCTTGAAATTGTGCTGACTGTATTTTCTTTTTCTTTTTAGATTTTGTGCCTTGGTGAAGCGGCGTGCCGAAGGTGCCCCACCTGGCAGCGCCAGCATGGTGCCCTGCCGCCCCGACTTCGCCCCCCCTTCCCACCGCTGTGTGCCCACAGACGTCGACCCCGAGCTGGTGTATCTCTGCCGGCACGTCTACGACTTCCGTTACGGACGCATCCTGAAGAACCTGCAGTAGAGGGTAGAAGGGGTGTGGCTCCCGTGAATTAATCATAACATAGCTCCCCCTCCTGGACAGGGCGGGGGCTGCTGAAGGACTGAACACCCCTGTCTTTTCTGCTGGGGACGCTCACGATAAGAGGGAAGGGGGATGATGGGCTGGTTTCGAGGAGGGACAGATGAAGCAAAAAGTGACACATTATGAAGCACAGATCCCTTTAGTTGACTACAGAGGGGTCACAATGCGACAGATGAATCCACGTCAGTCAGAGCACCAATATTTCCTGGTTTGGAAGAGTGAGGACGGGAGCATTCATTCATCAGCTTGGATTTTTCAGCTTCGACAACAGTGTGAGGTGACACGGAGGCTTGTGTGTGTCCCCCCTCCCCTCGCCTGCCAGGAATGCTGAACACCAGGCTGAACTGGGCTACTGTCAGGACCGTGTTTCCCCCAGAGCATCTTAGCACAACAATCATGTTTGTTCCATTTGTAAGCCAATGGCTCAGGAATGGTCCGGTGCTAAGGTGCTTCCGGGGGAACACAAGCCTGCGCTGTCAGCTCGATGTTAACGGTGTTCAACCAGCCGGGGTGAAGGAGCAGCTAATGGAGAGTGTCGTCTTATTTCTCCTGATTTGAGTTTGTCTCAGTCGTGTGTGTGTTTTGTGCGCGTGAAAGCGAGAGTGGGAGAGCGAGTGTTGTCAGTGTGGTTAAATGGATAAATGTGTGATGGTTTTTTAGGAGGCTTTCAGGCAATCAAACCAAACAAGCAGCTTTAGAGGAAGCGGTGCTCCCTTTGCCCATCCTCTCTCCTGTGTGCCACAGCACACTGACACTGACAGAAACATTTTCATCTCGAGTGATGCTCTGCGCAAACTAAAATACTGTACCTGAAGGGGGTCTGTGAGACAGACCTCCCCTCACCAAACTTGACTCTAGAGCAGGGCTTCTGTTACTTTGGGTCAGGACGCTAAAAATAAAATTGATTCTATTAGTAAAAACGCACATTAGACAAAAGCCCCACTGTATTTTCAAACTTTCATCTCAGCCACAGTCCTGGCTGGAAGATGCCCAGCTCTAGAGAGGCTCTTCTAACGGTCCAACAGAGAAAGCTGTTACTGAGGAGCCCTGTGAAGGTTATTAAGACGAGGGCCATCGTTTGTCATTTTCTGTTTGTTTTCCCTCATTCTTTCACCTTTCCTGTTCCCTGTGACTTGCCTTATGACTTGCAGGTAGAGCTTCAGGCAGCTAGTCTCACCACACACAACTGGGGGAGTGGTAGAACAGATGTACTGTAATCCCAAGAGAAAGACTGACTGACAGCTGCGACATGAACACTGGACAAAATGCATCGGTTTAGGGCTGCAGCGCATGATTGTTTTCATCATCAATTACTACTTTTGGCAATTATGTGTCACAGAATAGTTTCCCACAGCCTAAGATGGCTTCTTGACCTTGTTTTGTTCAACCAGCAGTCCAACAGTCAAATATATTCAGATATCTGACATTTATGACAGAGAAAAGCATCAAATCCTCACATTTGACAAGCTAGGACCGAGAAAAGTTTGACATTTTTTGCTTTAAAGGGGCAGTTCACCCAAAAATGATCATTTGTATATCAGTTACTTACCCCGTGTTTTATTTAATTCATGAAGCAAACATTATGTTCCTCACATGCATTCATGGTGAACGAAGAATCCAAAAACAGAGAAAATGATTAACTAATTGAAGTCATAGGGGTCCACGTTTCTGCCGATATATCCCCCTAAATTACTCAATCCGTGTTACTTTGAATTTGTGAAGAAAACTTTGTTTTTATCACATGCATTCTTGATTAACGAAGAATCCAAAAACAGAAAATTCTTGATGAATTGAAGTCATAGGGGTCAAAACATCCAACATACAAACTCTCACAACTTGTGCAGTATAATCCAAGTCATATGTTCAGTTCTTCCCAAACTAGACGTCACGTTAACTAAATATTTTCCATCATTGACTGAATTTTTTTAACAATTTTTTTTTTATCTTTGAAGGCCATTCATCATTTTTACAGGTCAGGTCAGAACACCAACACGGATCTACTGTAACTTTAAATAACCCGCTACAGACCATTGCACAATGTTTCGGCAGCTGATTGTCTGAAATGTCTCTGCATGGTCGATGTCTCCGTTCATGTTATTACTCTCTAGTTATAAATGCATAATCTGTAAGGTTGTTCTGTATTCTAATTATTAAAAATGAAAACTAATGAGTGGAAATTAAATGTTATTAAATATGTTTAACTATCATGAAAAATTGAATTAAAATGAGGGGAAATAATAGATTATGATGGGATCATTTTAAGAGAAATCTAATGAAACTTTTGCTAAAGGCTTACTATTTAAAACAGTCGTTCCCACCTGTTGGGTCATGGTCCAAAAGTTTGTAAAAAACATACTTTATTTTTAAGTGCAGTGAATTTCCAGCACAGAGATTTTATTTGAAAGTGCTCTTTGCTGCTGTCGAGTGAGTGACTGACAGACAGCTACTTCGCAGAGACAGCAAACTAGCTCGGCAACATGGCCAAGCAAATCTGGACCCCATAGCTGGACCAGGTGGGAACCACTGATTTCAAACACTTCAGCATTCGAGTAGTGCACCTGAACATGGGCGTACATTTGAACTCTGCTTGTGATTGTTTATGTGAAAGCGAAAATACATGGGATAGGAAAGTAACGAGCATACAACTGGATAAATGAGACTTGGATTATACTGCACGTTATGTGAGCTTGTTACAGAGTATTATGATATGTGGCCCCCATTTGCTTCAGTTCATCAAGAATTTTCTTCTTTTTTGGAGTCTTCATTCACAGTTGAGGCATGTGAAGAAAACAAAGTTATCTTCAGGAATTCAACGCAACACAGGGTGAGTAATTACAAATGATCATTTTGTGGTGAACTGTCCCTTTAAGAAGTGACAGAAATGATCGTATAATCGTTGAGTCATTGTTGCAGCTCTAAACTCGTTAAATACACAGTGCACATCTCATGTCATTGACCTGCTGTGCTCTAGCTGCTCGTGTTGCGGAAATGTCCATTCTACCTGCTCTAATTCTACATCCACACCAATTATTTCCCTCCTCCTCCCTCCTCCTCCTCCCTCCTCCCCCTGAAGATAAACCAAAGGATGTCACACAAGCCAGAGTCCTCGTCTCCTCCCTCGCACTCCTCCTCATTGTCAGCACTTCTGCCCTCGTTCCCTTTATTATATTGCACTAATCCATTCCTTAATTACAACAAATGTGTTCACCTTTTTTTTTGTGTGTGTGTTCCAGCTACTAATATCTTACCGGGAGGGGAGGGGGGGGGGCATACTGTGTGTGTCATTTATGTGAGTGTGTGTGTTTTGTAGAGAAGGAAACAGTGAGGATGTCATGGCTGCTTTTTGTCAGTGCAAACTGTATATTTCTATTCTTTCACCTGTAGAGGAGTCGGCCAGCGTGTTCGCCATGTTACCCGATGCACAACCTGTTGAGTCCCATGGAATATATACAGTATATATATATTACTAGAGTCATTCCATTTGATTTCTGAATCAGCTCTGACATACTTATATAAATATACAGTATATATATATATATGTATGTATCCACACTGTTAATGTGATTTAGATTGCAAAAGGCATCTGGACGGAGGCCTGACGCGCTGTGCGGACGTAGCACCATGTTAGACGTGTATTTGGATTGACGGGGGGTGGGAATGCGTGGGAGGGTGTTCGATACTTAATTGAGTGGTGGTGGATGTCAGACCACACTCTTTCATTGCCTTTTAACCTGCAAGTGTTTTACTGTCGCTCAGAAAACGAGTAGCGTCGGAGTGTGTGTACCTTTAAAAACATAAAGAGTACCCGATTGCTTTCCTACACTGCAAATGCCCTGTTCTTCAACATTGGATCAAAGTTTTCACCCTGAAGCCATCTTTGACTTTTACTCTATTTGAGCAGCACGACTCCGAACCCAAAACAAAATCGAATCCTGATGATTGGGTTGTTTTTTTTGTTTTTAATTTCTATTATCGCCCAGATTCTTCAAAGAGGTAATATATATATTCTCCTACTTTACAATTTCTCCTTATTAAGAATATTTTATTATGTCGATTTCCTAAGATGGCATATGCAATATATTTTTAGACTTACTATTTTTGGAAAAATGAACTTGAACAAATCAAGAAAAGGAATATGCATTTTTATTTCATTTCAAATCAGTTTAAAGTCATCACAGCATTAATTGAGATTTGACCAAATGAAAGAAAGAGGAGATTGAACGGACTCGATGCCGTCACATGACCTGAGGTTGTAGATAATGAGACACTCCCTTCCAGGCGATTTCTAATGAAGTGTACATATCTGAATCCAGGAAGCACCGGGCACTCTTTAAACAAACAGACAGCCAATGCACAGTGTAGTATTTTTGCAAGATCTGTAATAATTATATTTAAAGTAAGAAAAAAAAATATTTAAATGGAGTAAACAATACGATATATTAAGATTTCGATTTAACTTATTTGGAAATACTGTGTCTAATTGATTAACTATATCCTGTTTCTTTGTGCTCCAGGATAGAAATGAATTTCTGTTTATTTGTAACTTATAAGTTTAGAAATTAAATGGTTGAGTGGCGGTTTGTTGACAGAGATGTAAATGTTGTTTAGTTAATATCATTTCGTTGTCAGGGGGTGGAGACCAGACCAAAGCACACCCTGGCAGACGGGAGCGCAGAAGTGGCTCGCGGATCGCAGGCAGATTTGATTCCCAGATCTGACCTGTGTGAAGAGACGACTTCCTGCTCTCCTGCCTAACCTGACTGACCTTAAGTGTGACGTTTGGGAGAATGCCGCGGCAACATGGTCACCTGAGCTTTTATTGATTCGTCCTATTAGGGGAGAGACAGAGACAGAACACCTGAGACAGGACGGGACGTCCTCTGGGCTCCAGGTAGAAGATCCCCTCAGGCGCTGATCTAAGACCAGTTTCCCTTCTCTAAATTTAGCCCAATATTACAGAGGGTTTTCAGTAAGGAATTAGGGACTGTACGAAAATTATTGAGGATGGGATGGTGAGAAAAGATGCGATTTTTGTTAAAAGGGTAGCTTCAGTATTTTTTAACCTGGACCTTATTTTCCAATGTTTATGTGTGTAAGTGACTAATGGGAACAACAGTTTTTGAAATCGGTCCAGTATTGAGCAAGAGGGCTGCAAGGGAACCACTTGGGACATGTTCACACTGCCAGTTAACCAAAAGTGCTTGTTTTTGCAACTGACAGACTCAGATTGTTATTTCAAGTGTCTGACAACATTATGGAAAGGATCCCTACAGAGATAGACCTTTTTGTTAAAGATAGATTAATTTTGTTTAACCAGAAACAGCCCCGAAGTCGCTGTCACCAGACTCCATTTAAATAACCTGTAATTTAAGCTTGGATAGAGGCAGCATATTCTTACAACTGAATGGATGAATTGAGGTTTTATTTCAACCAAACCAGAGATGGTGGTTGCTGGAACGTTGGAAGAACAAACCAAGACGGTTATTATGAGCTTAAAATTGTTTTTGACCACTTTGAATGAATTGTGTTGTACGATTATAAAATTACTGTTTTTTTTAAATGGAGTCTGGTGGGTTTGGCGAGAGAAATTTCAGGGCTGTTTCTGGTTAAACAAATAGAATCTTACTCTTTGAAAAAAGGCCTATCTCTGTCGGGATCCTTTCCATAATGTTGTCAGACAGATACAATAAAAGTCTGAGCCTGTCAGTGGCAAAAACACACACTGCAGATGGACAAAAATTGACGGTGCACAATTGCCCATTGACATAACATTGCAGCCTGTTTCACACTGCGAGCTGCAGCCCTCTTGCGTAATACTGTACAGTTTTTAAACATTTTTGCTTCCATTAGTTACTTTGACAGAAAAATTTAGGAAAATAGGGTTCCAGGTTGAAAAATACTGAAGATGCCCTTTAAGGGAGGGTTGTCTATATTTGCTGGGAAAGCAGTGGAGGGTGTTTCAACATTTTCTCACTCCAGAATCGTAATTTTTTTTAATTAATTCTGCAGCGCTCACATCTGTCAGCACCAAAATAGTTGGCGCCTTAGTTTGTTTGCCATAAATGGGTTATTTTTTAAATATTAAATGGAAGGTATTGCAGTTTTTTTTAAACCGAGGGACGGTGCAAAGACAATACTTATATTTATGTGTAGTAATTTTCGTACAGTCCCTTATTTGAGTCATTAAAGGTTCAATGTTTTACAGTCGCCTGAGAGGAAATTTAGGAATTTTAATATGATGCATGGGTCGGTCAAATTGAGGATTTGCTGAACAGCTTCTCCCACCATCTCACTCAGCTGGCCACCGTTGCCTTTCTCCCAGATGTGCATTGACGGTGTTCGTCCCCTAGAGGGCAGGAATCCTATGTGTGCAGAACAGTCTCATGGCCACATCCCAAAGCTGCTCAGCGGCTTCCTCTCCTTGTCCTCTTTCCTTGCATCCTTATCTTTTGGCTACTGAGAGTGATGCAGGAGCTTCCTGGAAAAAAAGGAGATGGAGAGCGCTCAGTAAAGGGAAGCTGCCATGAGTCATCCTCCCAAGTGCTGGCCAGCCCTGCAGAATAGCATGGACTAGATTGTATGTTATTATTTATGTGACTTAATTTCCTAGCAGCTTTGCATGGACACAGTTGCATCTTTTGTTGCCATGACAACCAGGCATGGCCAGCACTGGGGAG